TTTCATTGTGAATATCATCCTCTATAGGACGTGACAATTTTCTTTTCTTATTGATTGTCTCATCATAAGGCTTGTTCTTAGGTTTTGGTGAATCTTTCTGAGACACAAATGAGTCATTCATAATAGATTCGTCATTTTCGCTGCTGTCATCATTCTCTTCATCATCGTAAGATTTATTCATATGTTCTTGAAGTAGTTTTACTTCATTTGCATCAAAGTGGGAGGCTCTTTCCGCTATTTCAAGAGCATTTAAACCATCCGGTTTACGCTTTTTATTGGGATTTGCGCCCTTCGATAACAAAAATTTAACAACTTCATAATGACCCCTTCCTACAGAAGCTAATAAAGCAGTAAGACCACAGTTGTTCTCTTGGTTAATATCAAAATTTCCTGAAGTCAAACCTAAAATAATGTCCACTAATTCTGTATGGCCATTTCTAGCAGCTAGAATTAAAATATCTGGCTTGTAGTCTAGTCTGCCTCCTTCAACAAAATAATTTGCAGTAAATTCCTTGAGGCCTTCCGCGGCATATTTATAGATGGATGATGCATGACTCTTCTTTTTCAATAAATCACTAAAGTAGTTGTCATTTGGATCTTCAATTATACGAGAAGGAGATGGAGACACTGAAGATCTTAATATTTCTTTGTTTTGATGTTTTGATTTGGCGTCATTTGTATCCAAGAATTTCGTATTATACTCTTCCAACAATTTTATGATATCCTCGTAGCCCTCTTCATCGTCATGTTCATTGAAAATTTTTGTTAATGCAGTGAACCCGTCTATATTGAAAATTCTTGGATCAGCCCCGTTCTCAAGCAAAGCCTTTACAGTTTCAAAATGTTTATTCTCAGCTGCATCAATTAATGGGGTTTCTAAATCACCCGCCTTTAAGGCTTGTTTATTCACATCTGCTCCTTTCTCTATTAAGAATTTAACAATATCGATATGACCCTCCAATGCTGCTTCGTGTAAACAAGTGAACCCACAGAAGTCACGCTCATTAGGACTTGCACCTCTGTCAATTAGTTTCTTTACATCATCAATATTACCCTTTTTGCAAGCCCTTTGAAGTAATGATCTTCCACTGGAATCACGCTTGATTTTGTACGGTCTTTTAGCACCGGTATCTTTTGAAGATTCCTTATTATCATTACTTTCACTATTTTCTTTAAGGTTAGAATATCTGTTCAATTCGTTATCATCATCTTCATCATCAGAACTATCGATAATCTTTCTAGTTCTGATTAATGTTTCTCTGTCTTCATCATAATCTCTTTTTCTTACTAATTTTCTACCTTTATTTATTCTTGGTGGTGAGTGAGCAACAATTGTTTCAGCTTCAGAATCATTTTCATCTGCTTCTTCTTTTACTTCAGTAAGTATATCTCCTAGTTCATGAGAATTAATTTCCTTATCATCATTGACACCAGGCAAATGGTTCAAAAATGATCCATCAAAAGATGCAGTATCAGCAATGGGTGATAAATATGACGAGTTTGCTACCATTTGGGTTTGTGTTGGTGATTCAGGCTCTTCTTTTGTCACATTGTTTGCATTATTTTCTTTATCATTAGATTCATTTTTGCCACTATCGTCCATTAATGATTTCTGATCGCTTGAAGATGATAATTTAGTAGCTTCTTGATCGTTCTCGCTCTGATTTTGATCGTCAGCTGAATTACTTCTATCAGCAGGTTCTATTTTTTTTGGCTCTTCTTTAGGTTCTGTCTTAATATCCTCCTGAGAGTGATTATCATTTTCCATTAGATTTTGATGACTGTCAGCGGGTAATAATTCAGAGTCTTCTGGTAGAGAAATATCTTTATTTTTCTCATCTACAGGAGTCTCATTAGATCTTACCAAAAATGACTTCCCTTGATATATATGACTAGAATCCTTTTTCATTTCTATATCATTACTGGTATCTTTTGTCGTTTCATCTGCTACCTTGCCCGTTTTATTTTGAGTTTTCTCGAATTCTGCACTTAAAGGGTTTGTTTCAAGCTCATCGAACCTCATTTCGGGCTTGTCTTCAAACAATGATTCAGACTTCCTATTATTTGGCTCACTAGTCTCTTTTAAATGATGTGTAATTTCAGAGTCGATTATTGGACTTGGCCTCTTACTTTCTGGATTGGAAAGTATCAGACTATCTTTACCACTATTTTCCTCTTCGTTTCTTTTAAACGCATCATTAGCAGGAAGGTGTTTTGATATATTGGTGGACTTGACTGGTGGTTTCTGACTTCTCTCGCCATACGAGTCGTACCTATCAAACTGAGGATCCCGCCTATTGTACGAGTTAGCATTTCTAGGATTGTAGTTACTATTACTACTTGAACTCCCTGTATGATAATAAGATGAATTCGATCCTCGATAACTATTTCTGCCGCCTCTATACTTATCATATCTACCATATCTTGAAGAATTGGAATTATTCATATTCTGCCGGTACCCTCCGTAGTTTCCTCTATTTGAATCGGAACTTCTATTACTATATCCATTACCAGATGAACTACTTCCATTTCCATATTCATTACTTTCAGAGCTGTTATTATTACTCTGCCCTCCAAATACATTAGATTTTTTTGATGAGCCCGAATATCGATTGTAATAATTTCTATTATTGCTATTGTTATTATTATAAGACATGTTGACAAGTTGATATTTCAACTTAATTCAATACTTCGCTATTTATTCAGCGCTTGACAATAGTCTATGGGCTATATTAATTTATAATAGAGGTTATACTTGTCAACCACTAATATAAGAAATTGTTACGACTAAAAAAAATATTACAATTTAAATGACACAAAAACTAGAGTAATGTTTGTATATTGAATTACCATCCTATTTATTCTTTAAAGCATCATTAAACTCCATTAACTCAAATATTAGACTCATATTAGGACAGATTCTATCACATGCATCGACATTGTAGCCCTTGTTCTTGATCAAAGTATTTGTAGGTTCGTTTATATTATCAGTTCCCGATTTTAATAGTTCATAAGCTTCATTAACACCAATTTTAAATTTATACATGAAATAAGCAACAATTACGCAAGCAGACCTAGAAACACCACATTGGCAGTGAACTAGGATTTTACGCTTTTCGTGAGGTTTATTGCTATCATCAAACTGGCTTATTTTCTTTGTTATTTGGGGTAGTTCCTTCAGAATTAGAGATGTATGTGACCAGGGAATATACAAGTACTCCTTTTTTCCGTTGTAAGTCTTGAATTCTGATGATAGGTCTTTGCATTCCTTGGCAACGTTTATGACCAAGTCAAATTTGTTTATGTCTATTTTAGTAGGACCATGGTTTGGGTCGGAGTAAAGGTATATGGAATGATTAAGAACATCTGCAGGGCCGTTTGTGTATGCATCTAGTTGGCTCTGTTCCTGTAACTCTTCAGGTATTCTTGAATAGATAGGCTTCTCCTTATTTATACTAATTTTCGAAAAATCGTGAACGAGTGATTTATCGCTCATAAACGGGCTTTGTAAACTGGAATTATGAAATGGATTCGAAGTACCTATATGCGGGGCGTCAAAACGAAATGAGTTATGCTCGTGATCACGATCAAGAAGATCTGATTCTGTACTACTCTTGAAAGTTGACATCAACGGCGGCATCGACGGCGTCTTGGTGACGTTTGGTGTCACCAACGGCAAGTCTTCTGTCATCGAATTTGCCGGTATAGATAACGTCAACGTTTTCCGTCTAGTTAAAGGAGGTTTATTGAACACATCTTCCATCTCTGTTTGTTCTGCTTCAGGTTTTTGCGTGGAAACCTTGTCTGCTGTGGGGTCCGCCGTAGATTGTTCTGCAGAAGCATTATTATTCGAATGGGCTAGGTTCAACGATAAATTCTTCATGTTTATATTTCGGTTCATCGACAACGAGCTTGGCTTACGTGAATGCTTGGGACTATAGTTAATAACGCCATATTTGGGGCTCTCTTCAAAGCTTGAATTAATTGTCTTAGGGGACGACAATATAGAATTACCAGAACTCGTATGGTTATGCGTCGGCAGAAACTGACTTGTATGACTATAATCTTCTGTTGTTGTCATGGACGGGGCCATATTGCAACTTATGAACGGATTATTCGACATGATAATCCGTGAACTTTAGCTAGAAACACTTGATTTGGATTTCGTGAAAATGCTCTATATTTCGGAATGATTGGAGAAAATGAATTCAACTGTTCAAGAAAAATATTATTGAAGAAACAGACTCCACGCTTGACTGCCTTGTATCTACTTCTATTAGTTTATACCTTTCTGACTATCTTAAAGTCCTTAGTGTTCTTTTCAATGAGGAACAAATTCGAATACCGCCATTACTTCGCGAATAGTGTTTTAAAGAAGAATATTACACAAATCTTTACAAGCGACAATTAGAACAGGTAAAATTTTATATCTGATTATAATTATAGTATATATTATATAACTTATAGATGCAATAATGTATAAGAGTACTTTGGAATTTGATTATTGTATGAAAATGTAGTGAATAGTCAAAGAAAGGCATACGGAGGTATTGAACTTGCTCGCAAAGGAAGTCCGAGATGAAAGTTCAGTAAGTAAAATACATTGTGGGACGGAAAATGAGACAATTAACGGTATGGAGCATCAGCATCAATACAGTATTGTAATTCTTGTTCCCACTTATCACCGTTTTCTAACAACTTTTCTTTATTGTACAATAATTCTTCTCTGGTTTCGGTGGAATATTCAACGTTTGGAGACTCAACAATAGCATCAACAGGACATGAGTCTTGACAGTATCCACAGTAGATACACTTGGTCATGTCAATATCGTACTTGACGGTTCTTCTGGATCCATCCATACGTTCTTCGGCTTCAATGGTAATGGCTTGAGCTGGACAAATGGCCTCACACAACTTACAAGCAATACATCTTTCTTCACCACTAGGATATCTTCTCAACGCATGTTCTCCTCTAAATCTTGGTGAAATTGGACCTTTTTCAAATGGATAGTAAATAGTGTATGGAGCTCTGAAGTACATTTCTAAACAAACATACATCCCTCTTGCAATTTCGTTCAAGAAAAAGAATTTAGTGGCCTTTGATAATGCACTTTCACCACTTTCTTCCCATGTTTTGGGTTTTGGGACTCTGAATCCTTTTGGCCACACTGATTGAGTCGAACCACCAGTGGTTAAATAATCAGCAGTTAAGGCAGGTTTATTAAAGACTGAAGTACCCGAAAAGTAACGGAACTGTTGTGGCTTTACACCGGCCCTCTTTGATACTTGTATCATTTGTTTAAACATCGTTGGCTCTATAATTGTAGTGAATAAACTATATATTAATATTTCATTTATTCATCATAATGATCGCTTTGCGTAATTATTTTAGGTAACGAGAAAATCAAAGATTTTAATTGGCTATCGTTGATTACATAATCTACTTAACACTTTAAGCTTGTTTGAATGTCTAGGGTACTATAGACGGGTAGTGGAAATAGTATTTACGGAGGTGAACTATGTAGGTAAAGAAACAGAGCGTGGACCGTTGAAGTTTGGACAGTTGTTCTCAGATATAGAAGACATAAATACTTGAATTTATTCTAGTCTATATATTTATGGAAAATTACATAAGCATCGATCTATAGTATAGCAGCAACATATATAAGCTGGAAGAGTAGATGTAGTAGACAACAGGCAAACCTTTGATGGAAGGGAAAGTCATAACCACGTTGTTTTGAATATGAAACCGGTCACTAACGGTGAAATGGGTGTGAATTTTGTGGTTTGTAGATGCGAACGGGGCCACGAATCCAAGCTTCGATATTGGAATGATAATGGACTAGCCCATGAGTCTCAAGGCCAATTCTACACTAGCAAAAGTCCCTGCGGAGCATGGAACAGCTCTTATCAAACATGGGGCCAATCCTTTCCAGAATCCCAACCACCCATTGGTTTTGAAGATATGCTTTGCGGCCAAGGACATGCTACCATTAAACCTCGATTCAGCTCCAAACTTATCACTCTGAATGTTGGATTTAATGACATCTATTGGGTAAGATGAAAGCCAAAGGGCGTTCCCTGCCAATGCACCAGCGGTCAACAATTCCACTGTGGAAATATCGTTTCTATATTTATAACCTCTTGACGATTGGATATAACTGATCAACGATTCGTACGCCAAGAACCACACACCATACGCCTGAGTCTCTCTTAATAGTGTGACGGTGAATCCTCTGTATATACCATTTGTAAACCCTCTTTCTGCGTATATCTTCTTAACTGTAGATAACAACGAATTGGAACCACTCTTAGTGTTTGATTGGGATAAAATTCTCAATTGTTCAACCGGAGAAGTAACAGGAGTATTTACTATACCAGCCACTGCCCCAGCAATGTATGTTTGGGGCCATAAGTTTAATTCACTTCTATTGCTCAGCTTTAAAAGTTGACGTTTACACTCGTGGAAACCGTAAAACTGCAACGATACACACGCACCAACCCCAAATAATGGAGGCAACGTACCTTTATAGAATGCAAGTAATCCTTCGTTTTTGATCACATTCTTGATCACTTGTGCAGACGTAGTAGGGGTAGATGAAGTTTGCAATCGAATTTTCACAAGATCAGCCGGTTGTCCAATCAACACCTGTGTTGCACCACCAATGAAACCTGCTGCGATATCTTTTAACTTTCTGCCTAGAGAACTATCTATATCTGACATCACAATCTATAGTCTACAATATTGTCTTCTGCCTTTATTTTTGCAATTTTTCAGTTCGATTGTTGATAGTGAGAATGAACTCTTACACAAAATTCTATTGCACAATATAACGTGCATGTGTTTAATTCTATAATATTATTTACAAAACGTCCTATTTATCGTTCAAGAGTCCTCCGATAGACATACCAGGAGACTTATCTCTTGAAGTTGTCACTACTGGCTTACTCAATGTACTTTTTGTAGCATCATCCTCTGAAGTTTGTAAGGGAATTGGTGAATCTGATTTATAGGAAGAAGTGAAATCGATTGCAACAGGAGTGGTGCTCCTACACTTGGAGCAACATTTATCGGACTCCTTTTTAATCGATGGAAGAGAGCCTTTAGTCTTTGACTTCCCCTTAACTTCTGAATTATTCCCATCGGAAGTCTTTTTAACCTCAGGTCTCTTTCTAACCTCAGGTGTCCTGCTAGTCTCAAGTGCGTTCTTGATCTCAGGCGTTCTAATAAGTTCTGGTGATGGACTTAAACCAGGAGCTCTGGTATTTTGAATATTGAGCATGGGCAACTTTATAGACTGATTGTAATTTTCGATAGGTAAGTTTGAGGACGGTGGTTGTAATTGGTGATGATGGGGCGGTGGTTGCTGGCTCTGAAGCGGTTGCGATGATTGGGGTTGCATGGGCATAGGTTGGGCCAGAGGCCTCTGTTGTGGTGGAGGTGGATATGGATACATGTATCCATATGGAGGAGCAACCATTGGTGGCCCAGACATATACTGTGGAGGAGGATAATTTGGAAACCCTGGGGGGACCGGTCCTGGCACTGGTCCTGGTCCATTTGGGATTCTTCCTCCGTTGTAGGGAGGATAAAATGATACATGATTTGGTTGAATGGCCAACATAGGTGACTGCATACCTTGATGTTGGTGTTGGGGTGGTTGATGATGATGCTGTTGATGCTGTTGATGCTGTTGATGCTGTTGATGCGGTTGATGCGGTTGATGAGGTTGATGCTGTTGATGCTGTTGATGCTGCTGAGGTTTTTGCTGTTGTTCCCTTAATGCAAGCGAAGCCAACCTGTCCTCCGAATCGTCCCTCTTGATGTGGGTCATGTTTCTTTTTCGCCTCTTGATCGTATTTCTCTTCATCTTAATTGGTCTGTGTGAGCCATGTAGCCTATAGTATAAACCACATGCGTTACAAATCGTATTCCCTACATCGTCCCTTCTCCATAAGGGGGTGATTGTCGATCCGCAATTGAAGCAGGCAATGGCCATAGGTTCATTCTCTGGAGTATGCGTGCCCGCGGGCGAAGATACCTTTTCTGGCGTCTTGTTTCCATCTGTATCTGTCTCTTTGTCACTCGTTTCTTCCTTCGTCGGATCTCGCTTCAACACCACCCTGTTATTGTATGCCGGGCACCCTTTGCAGGCTACAGAACCTCCTGTTCCATTACATCTTCCAACCCCTTTACACGAACCTTCTTCCGTCTTCATAATCCGAATCGTATTAGGCGGCCTTTTCAAATTCACTGGTCTATGACTATTATTGGACCGAAGATACAACCCACATGCATTGCATATCAACGTTCCATCGGGTGCCCTCCGCCAAAGTGGTGTTTTCGTGGTTCCACAATTCGAACACTGTTGTCCATCGTCCCCTACCGCCACCACCTGCGCCTTTTCCTCTTTCCCGTCCTCATCTTTCGTTATTGCTCCTTCGTCCCTATCTCGTTCTATTTTTTCCTGCCCGCCATTACCATCGCTATCTCGCCGTCTTTTAACTCCGTCGCTCGCCACGTCTCTAACTTTCGTCGTAGATATAGAATTGGTCATTAGCGATATTCTTCCATAAGCTTCTTTATTACAAGCAAAAAAAATTTATAATATACCAATTATACCAAATACCAAATACCAATTATTCTAGTAAAATTTTCAATCTGTAATATTTTTCTATTGTTGATCGATTTGATACTATTTCCGTTTATTAATCTCGGTGCTTATCCTGTGGTTTACTCACTATTTTGCAGGTTTTATCAGCCTGATTAACGAACTAAAATGAGATCGCTGACGAATGAGCTTGTTTTCATTTGTCATCGTTGGCGGGCGAGAAAAATTGCCGATTACAGGTTAGTCCTTAATTCTCAAAACATAGCAGGTTAGATCGGGGATACCGGATGACGCAATTCTGATTAGATCGATAATATAAGATTGGATAGATAAGTAGTCAGACAAATCACGCCAAACGGCGGTCGTCGGGGCTGTGGCGTTGGTGTATGGATCCACGTGCTGAGTTTTGTGTCCGAGTCAGTGGACGAGTCGACGGACGAGTCGAACAACCGGGACCCGGTTATCCTAACTGGTGTATGGAGCTTCCTGGTGCAGCAATGTGAATAGATTCTGGTCGTGTCCCTGCTAGGTACCAAGCGCGTTTCTTGTTTGGATTTCACCCTTGTTTGTTTACATGTGTAGATGGGCGTTTATTGTTGGAATGAAGGAACTGGTTTATTCTTAAACTAATCATACACATCGCTACAACACCAAGACTTAGAACTAAGTAGTCGCTTGTTAAGGTATTTGCATTATCCGTCAGCTTACACGGATCCACACACACACAGATTGCTAGTTATGAATTATCAGCGCCCGCCCATATCAGCGGGTGCTAATACCACACCTTCGAATAGGTCGTCGCAGTCCACCACACAGACGTCAGAACAAGAGAATGGAAGCAGTGGTGGTGGAAAGGACTTTTTGACGCCCAAAAGCACGGCCAAAATGCCCAAGAACTCCATCAGAACACCCAAGAGTAGCGTCAAGACACACCAGGCCAAGCGATCCTTCAACTACCACCTGTCGTCAAACCAGTTAGACTATTTTACAAATAACCATTTTTCCCGGTCGTTCAACTCGTTGATTTTGGACGATATTAAGGACGAGTTGGCGGCCAGTAGTAAGAAACCCATCAATAAATCACCACCTTTTAATGTGAAACATGATTATTACGATGATAACGACTCGATTAACGATTGCATAGAGGATGAGGACGAACCCGTGGCTTATGGTTCGGATATTAACGACACAAGGGCCGATGATGATGGTACCAACGACTTCGAACACAGTCAGACTTACCAATCGCCCACCTTGAAGGAAATCAAGCCCAAAAAACTTTTCAGACGCGAGGGAGCCCACAACGATTCAATGGAGCCGGATGCATCTTCCAGCTCACAACAATCGTCTATTAAGCGGTCTTTTAAGTTCCTCAACTTGTCGATAGACTCCTCCAACAAGGCCCTTGATTTATATAGTACGGGTAACAATAAGATTTTAGAAGATGACGTCGACTACATCAGTGATTTGAACGAAATAGGAGCGCCGTTGGATAAAAGTCCTGTCGCATCCAAATATGATGTCCAGACTGCAACCCATAGTCCTATTGATACCTACAGTCCTCGTGAAAGCAAGACTCCGCTTAACAAATTTAAGCGTCCGCATCAGTTAGTGAGTCAATCTCCATCCCCAAGCACGCTGAAGTACTTGACATCTAAGCATTCATTCTATACCCAAAACCAGCATCATAGTCAAAATGAATCACTTTCGAATTCTATATCCAATTCAATTCAAACTTCGCTACCTAACTCGGGTAGCAATTCATTTTTGAATTTGAATTCGTATTTTAATTCCAACTCGATAACGGTTAATGTTGATCAAGCTCCATCTACCACATCGGCACCTCCATCTACTTTGAATAAGACCAGTGTATATTCACCATCTAAGTTGGGAGGAAAGGGGTTTAAAATGTTCAAGAATGCCGAGAAGAATGCTATAATTTCACCTAATCGTTCCATAAGCCGTCCAGAATTTAGTAATCCAGAAATACCGAATCATGAAGTGAATCCGGATAATGATTTGACTCGTCCGAGCACATCCTTGGGAATATTTGAATCAAGCAAACTCTTATCGCTGTCCGCATCTTATAAACAAGCGATACGATCTAAAAAGTTAATCCCAACTAGTAATAAGTTAAGAAAAACAAACAGCATAAAGAGTCCCTTTACTGCAACGGACCTGCTTCCGAACTATTCATCCAATTTAGGTTTTGAATATTACAACTTAGACAACTTGGATATAATGGATTTGGAAGACGATAGTCCTTCGAAAACTAAGAAAATCCCAAAATCAGCTTCAGCAAATAGTGCAACTAGTGCAATTCAAATTCACCAAGATACGGAGGCTGAGTTGCTAAAGAATAGGAAGAAACTAAAAAACTACGAATTAAATAAAGACCCCTTGTATAACGATGACAAAGAAAATGATGCCAGCTCAAAGAATCTCCTGAAGAAGGCATCATATCAATTTGTTAAACCGTTACAGACAGCATTTAGGTCAACAGGCTTAGTAAAAAAGAATTCGGTTAACCACAACCTCAATGACGCTAGTCAAAGAAAATTACCTCCAGAAACACCAATAAAGAGACATCCAATGGCACCATTGGATACTGCTAGTACTAACATTCATAATACTTCTCCAATCGGAAATAGTAATATTAAGGAATTTAAAGCGTCTACTTTAAGTAACGTGGTTTCCTCTGCCCACGACGAAACAAATACATTTGATGATAATCTGGAATTATCGATCGAAGTAGGTAGAAATGTTTCGCAAGTTTCCAATAATGATTCGAGCACAAGTTTCTTCAAGATTTCTTCTGCACAAGGCTCAAGCAAGAACCTTCTGTTGAATACAGATAATGACTTGGATATTGACTTAGAGTTAGATGATATAATACCTGAAACACCAACCAAGTCGGTGAAGAAATCGCATTCTATTCCCGCAAATTTTAGCCCTATATCATATAATAATTTGTCCTCTGTTAACGCAACAAAGACGAAATTGGATAGTTTGAAGAAATCCAAACACTTGAACATTGAACCTTCTACACCAAGATATCATTTGCATAACACATCTTTAAACATCGGCAAGTCTTCATCGTCATCTAACATGCTCGAATCAATAAGCTCATCTCAACAGACGCTTTGTAACGAGATATCTGAACCAACGAGAGTAGACGATCACCTTATGAACAAATTTGGAATGAAGAATATTAAATATTTAGGTTCTGGAGAGTTTTCAATAGCGTATGAATGTTCATTCCAAGATCAAAAGTTTGCTATTAAGAAAACTAAAAAGCCAGTTTATGGTAAATTGGAAAGGAGCGCTATTATTAGAGAAATTGAAGCTTTAAGAGTTTTGAGTTCGGTGAAAGACAACGAAATGGTTAACTTGCAGGAGCAAGATGAAGGAAAAGAAAACTTAGTATATTTCATCGAGGCTTGGGATTTCAATAACTACTTCTACATTATGACCGAGTATTGTGAAGGTGGTACTTTATTCGACTTTTTAGAAGAACATAAGAATTACAAACTTGATGAATTTAGAATTTGGAAAATTCTAATTGAAATATTAAATGGGCTAAAATTCATTCATCTGAAAAATTATTTACATCTTGATTTAAAACCAGCTAACATTTTTATAACATTCGAAGGGTATTTGAAGATAGGAGATTTTGGATTGGCAACGAAATTGCCAATATTAGAAAAAGATTTCGATCTAGAAGGTGACAGAAACTACATTGCCCCTGAATTGATTAACGATAAAATTTATACTCCCTTCGCTGATATATTCAGTGTCGGGTTAATTATTCTAGAAATTGCTGCAAACATAATATTACCAGATAATGGCTCGCCATGGAGGAAATTGAGAAGTGGTGACTTATCCGATGCCGGGAAATTATCTAGTGATAATATAAGTGATTTCTTGCAACACCAAAACTTCTCTTCATTAACGTCTTATAATTCATCGGATTCTTTGTTGCATCACAGTCACTTACAGCATAAGCAATACCAACACCTACAGAATCATCATCAGCATCATCAATTATTCAGGAAAATTGATGTGAAGCACCTCATACCATCTTGGGCGCCAGAGTTCTTGGTATCAAAAGATACTAATAGCTTAGATAAATTGGTGAGCAACATGCTTAAGCCAAACCCATTCGACAGGCCGAATACCAAGATGATATTGGAAAGTGAAGAGTGTACAATCATAGAAAATAGAAGGAAGGCCGGTGCCACGATCTTTGAGGGTGAATTTGGGCCAGGTGATGATGATTAGCTTTATTTAGGTTATGATAGAATACGTATGTGTATGATTTATGGATCCCATTATATTTAATAGAGATATTTTTATTTTAGTTTTCAAATTCTACAGATGTAAAACATAACTTAATGTCGTGTAATTAAAACTAACACTCATATAGATAATTAAAACATAATTAAAGATTTTAATTCTGAGCTAAACAAAATAGATGTAAACTTTAATAATTCCTTCACAAATGTGAAAAAGGAGATGCTAGAATATAAAAAATCATAAAAAAACTAAGGTTTTTGCTCTTATCAATGGTACAAGCCCTTCGACGAACACTACCTCAATAAATCTAAATTACAGCACAATAACTTGTCTGCTTATTGGATTTGAGAGTATCCAGTGAACGGGTTAGCATTCTTGGATTTCAAGTATTCGTCAGACTTTTCTTGCCATTCTCTGTTCAATGTTTCTGGTGGTGGAGCAGCGAACATTCTAGTGAAGGCGAATAAACCAACACCTGCTCCTAATCCCATAACAACACCCCAGAAAACCTTGGCTTTGTCACCTGGACCGTATAATGGCTTTCTAGGACCCCATTCACCGAATGAGATGTAGTATGCAGCCTTCTTTTCGGCGGTGGTCAATTCTTGCCATGGTAATTCCATTCTGGTCTTTAATTCTTCTATCATGGTGGTTTGATCTTGTTTTGGTAAGGTTTCCCATCTTGAGCCTAACTTTCCGACATAAGCATTGGATAATGCTCTTGGAGCACTTTTGGAAACGGTAGATTGGTTACGAATAGCTAACCTTTGAATAGATTGACGGAGCATTATGACTTCTATTATGTTGTTAGTAAACTGTACGTTTCTATAGCGAATATCTAGATGTGAAAATTTAATGCTGTGATTTTGATGTGCTTTTGTGTTCGCTCTCTGGTCTAACACCTCCAGTTAGCGTAAAACGAGTTTTTGATTGGTTGGTGATAATTGAGTCATGGACGACCTGGCCTGATTTTTTAGATTCTCCAAGGAATAGTCCATAAGACAACATCTAGGAAGTCAATATTCATGCAACTGGGATCGAACGTAGTGATTCAGTAACCCTCAAACAGCTGGTCCCAAATTGTGCAAAAAAAACGGGGGTAGAAAAACAAGCAAACAATCTCCTCTGATGGCGCTGTACTTCACATAAACAAGCCAACGTAAAGCACTAACCTTTGGTCATTTTGTATTGTTTATATGTTTTCTTACGTATATGGTCGAACATGAGCTGATAGAGTGAGCTGTGCTTTTAGAGCATACAATTGGCGTTCACAATAGTCGATACTTTATCGAAGTGGTATAATAATTTGCTCATAGATAAAAACACAATTTGTTCATAATCATCGTTTTAAGACATCATTATCATCAACACAGCTTTAAACACATCCATCTCGGTGGTTATACATACCTATTTCAATTTCTTTTGTTTAGAACTATAATAAACAAATCCTGTTGAAAGTCTTTTGATGGTATGGTTCTTGGATTTCAATGGTAAAAAAAAGTTATGTGAGGTCGTGCGATTACCCATTTACATACACTAGTCTACGGAATTACATCGTTTGGCCTTAATGTTAGCAGTCTTGTATCAAAGTATGCTAAATTCCATCTGTAGAATCTACTATGTAATGGTATTGTTGCTACATATACATATGGATAATATATAGTACTATAAACCAAGTTGTTTAATATGAACACACGTGATACATATATATGTCTAGTATACTATTAGTGTCATTAGAAGTAGGTCAATGTGATCAACGACCTCTTTAACTGGGAGTCATGGATTTCATTAACATCTAAGGAGATCTTCTCTAACTTCTTGTTCTTTAAATAGTTGACAAATTCAGTAACAGAACCACCAACACCGAAATAAAAGTTCTTGGAAGCGATCAAGCACGACGATTTCGGGACATTAGATTGAGTCAAGATTTCGATCAATGATTCAGCTACAATTGGTAAAGATTCAGGTGAGTAGATAGTCTCAGAGCTAATAATAAGGTCAATTGGAGTGCCATTCAAAAGAGAATTGAACTCACGACCCCATGAGCCAGAGACAAACAGTAATTTGACATTGTATTCTGATAATTGGTTGATGAATTCGTTAATCAAGGGTTCAGTTATCAATACTTCGTCATTGCTTAATATTGGAGCGTCCACTTCAAGGTCTCCGGTAGGCTGGGATGCACATAATTCGTTCAATTTCGATGGTTCTAAAGTGGATGCCCAGTGGATAATCAAATTCGGTACTGTGACTAACCTGAGTACATCATAGTTGAAGTCTGATAGTATGTAGTTTGTGCTGGTCTTGTCTTGCATTTGGAACTTTTTCATCAACAAGAAACATGTAGGTAATGCTGTTCCACAGCCAAACTCTAAGAGATTCTTATACTTCAACTTCCCATTATTTATCATGTTCGATAATTCATCAACCATATCGTACGAACATTCCCAACTCTTGAAACCCCCTTCATAAACATTTTTCTTCAAATCTACTACATTATTGTCTCCAATTAAAACGTCACTAGTGACACCATGCTTTACAGAATTATCATCATCCTCGCACATTATTTGATGCTTAACATCAAATAGTTCCCGACGATATATGATATTTTGTCCTATTGGAGTAGTATAGTTATCAAATGTGAGTCTAACCCCATTCAATGTATGCAAAATAGATTCCAAAGTGTGCATCTTAGGATATGACGATTCATCAATCGTTTCAGATAACTTATCCAATGGATTTTCGTTCAGCTTCGAAACTGGTACATTATTCACGTTGACAGACTCTTCTATATCATCGTCACTGAAATCTTCGTTAGTGAATCCAAATGAAAACGACATGGCTAATGTAATGTAGTCTCTTAATCATCTCATCGCCAATTTTTCTCGTTCATTTATGCGAACTTTGATCCTATAATACTAATTTCAGTTTTTATTCTCCCGTATAACTCGGAACTTTAATAACCTCTAGTAACTAAGGCTCTATTGTCTCAGAACGTCTTCCAACCATCTACACCCTTTTTCTTGGTTTCTACGTATTATAAGTGTCCAATATAGTACTTTTGTTTTATGTGCAGGCTTTCACTATATTGGGTGCAAATATATACCCTTTGTTATTATAATTTCCACACATAGCCATATGTGTTATGGAAGTGGTCACCACTTCTACGTTTATTCTTGCTAATGGGATTATACCAAGTTATCATTAGAAAACGTTTCGGAAAGTAATTCAATCAAATGTGTAGTACCGTATGCACAATGCCTAGTAAACAGATTGCGAGTCTACGATTTATAATTGTTCACCATGTTATAGCTATGTGCTGTCATGAGAGTCTTATCTTTGCTGTACTTTTATGCTTTTACGCATCGATGTCTTGAGCTATTTTAATTATCTTTGGAATTTTCTCAAATATTGTTAAAAATCTACAATTTGTTACACATGTGGAATTTTAATTTTTCACCTCATTACCATTTTTCTTGACAATCCCCTTTAATACTGAATTTCTCAATTGGCCCTTCAATTGCTACTTGTCGTCACGATCAGCCAGCAAAACACAAAGGGATCCACAGTAATACCTAGATCTACCTATTTACCTCTACAGCAATTACATATGCAAATTGCATATCATTCCTGTTTACCGGTTCCTGACATATTCTTGGTCATATCTGCGCCTACATGAAATTGTAAATTAGCCCCCAATTACATAGATTATGGATGGACCATGCACCTTGAGATAAACCGGAGATCTAAAATACCTCTTTTATGCCTAATTGTATCCACACCTCTTAATTGATCTCTTCTACAAGCGAATTAACATCCACATATCCCGCGTACCCCGAGTACCTTTTTCACCCACTTTCACCTCGTTACCGTTACTTCCACCTGTACTATGACTAATGGTTCCAGTAGCAATCTCGCCCGGACCATGTCATCGGTTTAGTGGATGACTCCAGTAAAAAGCAAATGACACAAAACCTGCCAAAGACTCCGAAGTTACATGCAGTACAGTAACATCAAATTCAGATTAGCCATAACGGAACCCTACTGACCATCATTGAAGTAATCATAGTGGTCAAGTTACATTAAACCGATATCAATATGTCATCACCTTTAAGTTCTTCTGCTAATGGATCGAAGTCGTTGGAGATCCCCAAGAAGCAGGAAAGAGGAAGACCGAAATCTAATTCAATTTCCAACGCCATGCTACATCGTCATCGGGAACGAGGAAATGAAAAGAAAGTTTCATTTTCTACGTTCCAGGATAGCTCCAGTCAGATATTCACACTGACTTCTAACTCTTCAAGTGACGACGATTACCATTATTATGGATCCAGCGAACTGTATCCTAATGACTCCCACGAAGGGATACCAGACAAAGGAAATCAACAAGATACATATATAAAGGAGAATAGTCGTACGCCCCCACAACACCATGACTTTTCGCCAGTACGCAAAAACTCGTTAAAGAAGTTATCATCGTATCCGGGAGAACGAATGGGGGTGTCCCAGTCGTTAGACTCTCAGTTAATAGATGATCGTAACACAGGTAGCTCACCGTTGCCGGAATTCAACAAAAGGCCATTGACAGACACTCCAATAGTATCGGGAGTTGCTTCTCCAGTGACACGGGATCAGTCTAGTGACTATGATGAAACAGATGAAGATGAAGAATCTAAGAATGAAGCTAAGCAGGAATCGCCAATGTTGAAGACTAAGAACATATCACACTTGAACTTGACAGACTTGAACGATAATATATTGAAAAAGGGCATAAAAGCTCCAAATCCACACTCAAGCAATAAGTCAGAGTCTATATCCCCCATGACGGTGAATGAACCGAAGAAAGGAGGAGATACCACACAAGCTGATGGAAACAAAAGAGACGATTTACAGACACTTAAAATTAATAAAGAAGAAACGGAAGATTTATTACAGGACGTTCCGTTGGATATGAAAAAACAATTTGAAAAGACCCCTTCAATAGAACATTTGAAAAATCTTTTGTTGACCAAACCTCCTCCACCTGCGCGTAAAACGTATACATTAAATATTCCTGGTCAGACATCATCAAAAACTTCTCCCGATGGCCACATTGCTTCTGTTGATGTGGGATCTAAATTAGTTATTGTGATGGTTGGGTTGCCTGCAAGAGGTAAATCGTACATTACGAATAAATTAACTAGATACCTTAATTGGCTTCAGCATGATTGCCGCGTTTTCAATGTTGGTAATACTAGAAGAAAAGATAAAGAAAATAATGCCGGACCTGAAACCAACCCCTTACCAGATACAAACACACCCAATAACGAGGCAAATACTCCTCCGTCACATTCCACCAAGACAACTCCAGCTACCCATAGTGCCGATTTCTTCAGTCCAGATAATAAAAGTACTAATGCAATCCGTGAAAAATGGGCAATGGACACTTTGGATCAATTGTTAAATTATGTTATTGATGGCTCTGGTTCCGTCGGAATTTTTGATGCCACCAATTCGACTAAAAAGAGAAGAATGAAAATTTTAAAGAAAATTAAGGAGAGATCAAAAGGAGAATTGAAAGTATTATTCTTGGAAAGTATTTGTTCTGATCCAGCAATTATTGAATCAAATATCAGATTAAAATTATCTGGCCCAGATTATCACTCAATGGATCCAGAGGTAGCATTAAAAGATTTCGTTGGTAGGTTGCACAATTATGAAAAGGCATATGAAACTATCGACGACGCAGAAGAAGCTATTCCAGGTTTCCAATATGTTAAGATGATTGATGTTGGTAAGAAGGTTGTCAGTTATAATGTTCAAGGATTTTTAGCATCCCAAACAATTTACTTCTTGTTGAATTTCAATTTGTGTGAAAGACAAATTTGGATCACAAGACATGGAGAAAGTGTGGATAATCTTTCTGGTAGAATTGGTGGTGATTCTAACTTAACTAAGAGAGGTGAAAATTTTGCCAGAACATTACTGAGATTCATGAACTTCCAGAGACAAGAATTTCGCAAACAGCAATTGGAAAGGTTTTCTACTAGGTTGGAATTGAGATATAACTCAATCTTTGACAAAGAAAAGAACGAAGAAACCAGAGTGGATAGCATACCATCTGAACCAAATTTTTGTGTGTGGACTTCCATGTTATACCGTGCAGTGGAGACAGGACAATTCTTTGACGAACAGTTATTCTCTATTAAGGAAATGAGAATGTTGAATGAGTTAGGTGGTGGTAAATTCGAAGGATTGACTTACAATGAAATCCAAAGTAGATATCCTAAGGAATTTCAAGCAAGATTGCATAATAAATTAAGTTATAGATATCCAGGCGTCGGAGGAGAGTCTTATTTGGATGTTTTGACCAGATTAAGACCACTAATCACAGAAATTGAAAGAACAACGGATCATTTGTTGATTATTTCTCATCGCGTGGTTTTAAGGATTTTGTTGGCATACTTTCTTAACCTTGACAAGTCGTCAATTGGCGAACTAGATGTTCCTCTTCACACATTGTATTGTTTGGAACTGAAACCATACGGAACTGATTACCGTATGTACGAATACGATGAAGGCTTAGACTGGTTCGTGAAAGTTGAACCAGAACACCAGAAGAACCTCAAGGAAGTAGGGGTTGCCTTCAAAGAAAGAAAATACTCAGTGGTTCCCACTGCCCCACCTTCCAGCTCCTCCAAAAAGTCGAGAGATAGAACATTCAGCAATAATACGACCCGTAATTCTATTAATGAATCCTTTGGCCTAAGACGAAGCTCCAGTTTTGGATCTAGACCTGTCGGAGGTTCCACCCATTCGTCATCGTACCACAATAATGATCAAGCAGCTGCTCAAGATCATAACTCAAGTAATGATCATATGCGCAATAGAATAAGCTCTAAAAAACTAGAGGATTTGAATAAATTAAGGAAACCTTAATAGCGACCTGCTGCCCAAATGTTACATCTTCAGTTCTTATGTATTTACTTTATAGTTCATCGATCTTGTGTAAGAGTCTTTAATTTGCATATTTTGTTAAAGATATATATCCTGCATAATAGATCATATTCCAGCATTCTTTTTTTTTTCTTATATTACAATAAGAATCGTAAACAACTGATAAAGAAACATATAGTCTATATATAAGGCAACAAAACGTCACGGAAGGATTGTAAGCAGTATCATTGGGTTTCGGTTTATATATATAGAATACTGCGAATAAGGAACATACTTCTCTATAATATATTAGCAATATGACGTCTGCCTTGCCGCAGAAGGACCAATCTAAGAATATAAAAAATTTGACTATAGATACCAATGACAAAGAACCAGAACAGGAACAGATAGCGGAAGATTTGGACGAAGCAAAAGAAAAGAATGTGAAGACGAAAGACAATTCAAGAAATAATAATGACAATATGTCGATTCAACCCACACCCACAGCAAGTTCAGGAAGTGATAGTGCTAACCCGCTGGGAGGATTTAAAGTTCCAAAGAAAAAAAATGGTACTGAAGGAAAACAGACAGGGAGTGGGAATGAAACAGGTAATACTTCACGAATAGTGTCTATTGATAATAGTAATTCAGTAGGTAGCACACCAAAACTCAATAAGAATATAATAACAAATTTGAATAAGTCATTAAAAGCCAAACAGAAAATCATCAGTTCAAAGGAACCTCACCCGAAAAATTCAACCATAATATCAGAAATTATTAATAATTCACCTAAAGCATCTTCCTTTCCAAATACTGAGAGCGAAAGCGAGAATAACTCTTACGCTGTACCGGGCAATGGAATTTCGAATCCTTCCAATAATCTTAGTAATTCGTCCAATATTAATATCAATGAGCAACCAAGCAAACAGAATGCCAATAAAGACAAAAGCAAACGAATAGCAAAACAAAACTCCACGAGAACGGACTTTTTTGCTGCTAAGTTGGCAAGTGCAGTAGATGACGTTGATACTTCGGATAGTGATGAAACGTTTGTTTACGAAAATAATGCTAATGACTATGATAATAACGTATCCCAAAATCCTAATAATAGAATGGCACTTCCAAACGAGACTGCATCCATTAACGGAAGCATTGTTAATGCTGGAGGTATTGCTACTACTTTAAATAGTCCTCCAATAATTGAAGAAAATTCAGATGGAGGTCATGCTCGAGCAGAATCTATACATTCAGTGCATTCGTCTAAAATACCCACTATAAGATCAACAAATAATTCGATTCCTCCAGCGGAAATTAATTCTCAGTCCGAACTGTTCAAGCCAAGACCTCTGCAACAAAGAACAGGGTCAAGTTATTCTATACCTCATTTGCCACCTGTCATACAAAATAATGAAGATAGATTACACCATCCGGATACTGCTTCTGGAAAAAATAACACAATAGCATCAACTCATTCTCCTGCAAGCCCTTATGCGTTTCCGAGTAAATCTCCCTCAAACCAAGGACTTGCAGGGACTGAAAGGTCTTATACTTACCGCAGAAGCAATAGTCAACAACCTAACACAGCTACAGCTAGTATAAATGATGGGTATAACGAAGATGGCTATTCTTACGATGAAGTTGACGATACAGATATAATTGATGATGATTATGCGGACGATGAATATTATTCATCCCACAGAGTTAACGATCCTTCCAATCCTTCCCAAAGTAATGCCTTGTCAGGATTTAACCCTCATGTTAATTCGAATGAGAATGTCAAGGAAGATGTAGGACATAACAACAAAAATATGAATAGTTCGATGACCAGCAAAAGTACATCAAAAAAGAATTTCAAATCGTCTAATTCATCCTCTAAGTTAAGATCAACAACTTCCAAACTTTTCGACAAAAAAGGGTCACAGCCAAGGCGTTATAGTATTATACCCGATGATATTGATATTGAGGATTTTGATGATGAATTGATTTATTACGATAATAACATTCGTTTTCCATATAACAACTCCAATCAAACAAATCTTACTAATGTTAATTTTAACGATTCGGCACCATCAATTAACCATAATCATAGAATTCCGCACTATAGATCTTTGAATCTAAATTTCCTGGGCAAAAGAAATAATAACCTTAAGAACAAAAGGTATTTATCAACTGGGCAACCTATTGAACCAAGCAATGATAATGATCCTAATACCCCACCGAACACTTCTCACACTAAGCAACTAAATAGTGATATTTTTCCATTTCCATACCCGGAACCACACCAAAAGTATTATTGTGATATAGATGAATATGAAGAGCCAACCCTGAATGGTGAATTCCAGGATGTGGAAGCACAGTTTCGCTCTCCAAACTCAAGAAATGTTTCAGGTCGCTCAAAACATCCTTATTTGTCAACAAGCAATGGCCATTTTTTATTACCTAGAAAGAAGTCCGGTCAAACACTCAAAAACCAAAGAGTAAACTATATTAAAAAATTTATCTATACACTAATAAGTATTAGCTGCATATTATCGGTCGGATTTATAATGGGTTTTGTACTTGCAACAACAAAAGAATTAACCAACGTATCAATCAGTAGTTTTGAAAATCCTATAGTTTCTCAAGATGAATTAGTCTTTAATGTTATTGTGGAAGCTTTCAACCCTGGATGGTTTGCTGTATCTATAGATGAAGTCGAATTAGATATATTTGCAAAAAGTGGTTATTTACCAGAGAGTATGAATAATATAGATGTTGATCTAGAAGGGCTAGAGACAAAAAACACTGTCGAGACGGTATTATTGGGGACAGTAACTAATCTTGAATCACCGATGATTTTCACAGGTGGCTTCTTCACGAGGGAGCTTATAAGTCAAAGTGGTGAAATTAAATTATTGAGACCTGGTAGAAATTTAACTAATTTGGAGTTTGATAAAAACAGAAATGAATCCGAGCCTGATAATTCTGACAAATGGGAAATAATTGCAAAGAACCCATTCGACTTGATAGTCAGGGGAATATTGAAGTATAATTTGCCAATGAGCAAAATGACTAAATCTGTCATTGTCAGTAAAGTAGGTTATATTGATCCAAATCAAGATACACTCTAATACAAGGACTCTTCAAATAGTATATAATTATTGAACTAAAATACTTATTGTTATGGATCTACTAAGAATATACACTCTTAACTTCTTAATATTTTATTATACAAGTCATCACTTCTGGTATGAATTCTTGGTTCCAATCTGACTTTGAACAATTTCGGCTCAAATGAAATAGCATTCGGATTCGAATTGTTCTTAAAAGGGTCCAATTCCATTAGAAATTTATTCGATGTTGGTCTTCGAATTTGAAAGGTTAAAATCATTCGACAAGTTAAAGTATATAGCTCTTTAAATGCCAAATGATTTCCAGAGCACATACGCGAGCCGGCTCCAAAAGAGAAATGGCTAATCTCATATTTAGATAATACTGAACCTGTTACTGGATCTAACCACCTTTCAGGTTTGAAACTCATAGGATCTTTATAAATGTTGGGATCATGGTTAGCAGCATAAGAGTTCATAAACAAGATTGTATTTTTGGGTATAATAGCATCTTTGTATGTGATGTCTTTGGTAGTAATACGGGGCAATCCTAAAGGTAACACAGTGAAATACCTAAGAGTTTCTTTAATCAACGCAATGACATAAGAACAATCCATTATAATGGCAGCATTATCCCAAGCAGTGCAAACGTTGTTTTTATTCCTAGACATAATTTCTTCAAATGCTTTTCGTTGGTAATTGTATCCACTAGTAGGCTGCGATAACTGACCCATTAGATGATTAAAATTTAAAGAGGTATTATCTAGTCCAGCACTAACCATCGTTAAGCAAATACTTTGAAGTTCAGCTGAGGTTAACTTCAGCGTTGATTCCATATTTTTTATAGCAACACCAACAAGACTGTTTGATGAATCTTCATCACCCTGAGAGATTTTTTCTTGCAACAGTTGGAATAATTTATTCATATAAATGTCCCTTCTACTCCTAAAATGCTGAGCCTGCACGCTTTTTCCAAATGGTAAGTATCTGAGTATTGGAATATAATCTTGTAAATTAGAAACAGGTGCTCTGAATTTCATGATGTTGCTTTCCACCTCAATAATCTCTTTTGCTAGAGTTGCTTCTGTATCATATACATCCAAATGTAATCCATATGTTAAATATATTGCACTTCTTAAAGAATATAATTGTGCGTAACGTAGCAAATCGATATCGGATATAATGGTTCTGGTGTATCTATAGTTATTGCAAGATGGGGGTCCAAACAATTCCCTATTATTTTGAATGATATTTTTAATGGTAAACTTAGTTTCATTATCAATTACACTTGATAAGTTATTAACACTTCTTTGATTTAGACTTTGAGATATAACTTTCTTCTTACGTTTATAGGAAGGACCCGAAGGAGTTGATCCAACTGTAAATCCTTGAGTTGCAGAAACAATTCCGTGGAAGATATACTGTACTGGTCTAGAATTATTAGAACAAGAATGCTTAGTCCATAAAATGTTAACGTCCTCAAATGAATTAACAACGAGTATTCTCTTGAATCCTAATCGAATTTGAAATATGCTAGCGTTATATTTGTTTGCCCATTGAATATATACTAATGCTGGATTATTGAGCACCTGGAATAAGTTGCCAACTATGGGATAGCCAGGAATAGAATAAATTCCCTTAATATTTGGCGCAACACCTATACTTAGTAAGACGTCCATAAATATGCATAATACGAAAATAGCAAGTATTATATTTAGAAAGTTAAGGATTTTATAGTTCCAAAAAGTAATTAGTAGTCTTAAGAGCTCAAAAATTGCGGAACCCATGGTTGCAAATACCATGGTAAACCAAACAACTTAAATATTCCCTCAATTAATATAACAAAAAGGTAAGAGTCACCAAGTTATAATGTTTGATAAAACATACTAGAGGAATTAAAAGTGTATGAAGAAGCAGAACAGCGTATTTGCAAAAAATATGTGAGTGATTTTTTGATTGAGCCGCATGGTTCCAAATGACCACAAATCAGATTTGGTCTTTATGTTTTATCAAATTACCTGCTACATTAGTTACATTGAGCTTGACGTGTAAAGAATTATATTGACTTCTAAGTAATTAAATTAATTTGAATCGCCGAGAATAAGAAATTTTTAAACAAATAATTGAATTCAAAAGGACGAATATAATAACTCACCGAGCAAACTTGAACTTCTACCATTCAAGTGTGAATTGCTTGTCAAAAGCTCCATCTTCAGTAAACTTATTCAAGTCAGTAACAAGCAATGTGTTATTTTCATATTTATATGTTGCATCTTTTCCATTAAAAGTGACCGACTCAGGTTTGTCATTTACTCCAAGGATTGTGATATTAGACAATGGCTGTGAAACTTTATAATCACCATATGGTGAAGATATTATACTTTTGTTTAAAGCCACAAAGTCAACGTGCAAGGAAGATTCAACATTCTGCGATTCACCATCATCAAGGTACAACTTTCCATTAGCACCGCCATCCTTGTCCAAAGCAACAATTAAGCCAAATGGGTTTCTTCTACTCTGTGCAATAGTATATCCTGGCTCTTGAGTTGGCAAAATATTACCACCTCTAACATGTAATGGTATATGCCCTAATGGTGCTTCTAATGTTTCATTCTTACCAGCTTCAAAATCAACCTGTTCATGAGTATACCAGTCGTAATATATTTCTGTTACTCCGCTACCTGGGAACACACCTTTAACACTATTAACTCCTGGTTCTAAAACAGGTGTAACTAACAAGGCATCACCGACAAAGAATTGGTTATCAACACCGCTTAGATTACGTTGGTTTGGAAATTCCCAAGATAAGGCACGTAAAACTGGTAATCCGCTTTCATGTGATTCATGAAGTAAGGTATAGTAATAAGGCAATAATAAGTAGCGGATATCCATACTAGTTTTTGCAGCTTCAGTAACACTTGACCAGACATAAGGCTCCTGAGATATAGCGCCTAGTGTATTGTGGTTTCTGTAGAAAGGAAAGAACGATCCTAATTGCATCCACCTTGAGCATAATTCAGAATCAGTATTACTATTGAAACCGCAAACGTCAACACCAAAGAATGGAATACCAGACATTCCCATACTTAATGCTTGTGGAATAGAGAAATACATCCAGGCCCAGTCAGCGGTGTTATCACCTCCCCAATGAGCTGCATGTTTTCCAGAACCAGCGAAAGTGGCTCTAGAAAGGATGAAAGGTCTTTTGTTAGGAATAGCTTCCAATAAGGCATTATATGTAGCGTTTACTTCCATATAGCCATATAAGTTATGAACATCATATTCAATCGTGCCATCATGGTGGGTTGCATTAGGAGAAATAGCATGCGTTGCTAAATCATGTTCACCTTGAGCATTGTTAATTGCATAGGGTGGATAATTGATATTACCTTTTCCTGGAGCAAGTGTGTTAAGAGAATCTGAGATAGGTGTTGAAGACGACGCAACTGAAGATGTTGAAGAAACAGATTGTTGAATGGATGAATATTCGGAGGCGTTACTTTGCTCAAACCCTTTTGGATAAGTGTCAGAGACATCACCGTATTCAAAATTAGGTATTGCAGGGTTCTGAAGATAACCTTCAGAACCGCAAGATCCTACGCAGAAACTAGAAGCCTCATTCATATCACACCAGAGACCATCAAATTGAACCTTATTATAAAAATCCTTTATCGTCTGAGTCCAAAATTCTTGACTTTTTGGGGCAAAGAAATCTGGAAATGCGGTGAATCCAGGCCAAACAGAACCAATGTATAATGAACCATCGGGATTTTTTAAGAATGAATCTGATTCGTTACCGTTGTGAAAAATTTCATAAATATCGCTGGCATTATTTGGGTTTGGAACATATATTCCCGCATCAAACATTGGTATATAATGCTGATCGGTTTCATGTATGTCATCAATGAACTTCTTAAATTTATCTAATGGATATCTATGAGGATCTGTAGTAAAATCTTTGTATCCATCCATGTAATCAATATCAGACCAGATTGTCTCTAATGGAATATCAAATTTCTTGAAATTTGCGACAACATTTTCTAAATCTTCAATGGTATCATATCCCCATCTACATTGATGGTAACCAAGGGCCCAATATGGTTGGAGTGCTGGTAAACCAATTTCGTGAACATATTGCTTTATAACATCTTTTGGTTCTGGACCACTAAAGAAATATAAATCAATAACTCCGCTTAATGCCCTCCATGTCAATGCCTCCTCTTCAACGATGACTTCTTGGATTGCTGAAGTTCTCCAGTACACACTATGTGCTGTGTTTGAATCATATCTTTGATCCATGTAGACTGGATGAACTCCATATATATTACCGTCAATTGGGTCTCCAACATCATTAGCGAACAAAGTCTTAACTACACCTGGTTCATTTATCGATCCATGAATTGATTCCCCAAGACCAGTAATGACATGATCCTTAGGTAAGGTTGTGTTGAATTGGATAAATTGATTAGAGTACACTAATGGATTGCCAATTGTTGAAAATAAAACTTCACTAGTGCATGATCTAATCACTTCAAAACCAAAGTTCTTCTCTTGATATCTAAATACCAAATCCGATGTATCAATGGTAATATTACTAGACTCAACACTAGGTTTTGCAACAAGTTCTTCCGGTAACACAAAAACATCTGTCAAATTGGCTGGTTCAATATTGACATGTAAACGAGAATCTGCTTGATATTCGACTAATAAGTTCAAATAATCAAAGTCATAGCCGTATATATCAGTAGCTTCATTTAACTTCAAAACACCCTTGAGACCATGGGCTGTTTGGGAAACATTAACTAAATCATAACCTTTCGCAATTGCATTAGCATCCACTGCGCTATCATTTAAAATATTCGGTGTTTGTGCAACACCCCATGTCATTTCATCCAGAATGGTAGCTCTCGAGGATTCATCGAAGGTCGATGAAGCTTTATTCAGATGAGATCCTGAAGCAATAGGTTTCCCATGGACAGAAGTGAGAAGCCCCAAGCATACAAAATTAACAAAGTTTAGTAAATGCATTGGAATTTACTTTTTTATTTACTTACAATTTGAAGCAATTCAAAGCCAGTATACCCTTCTTATATAGTTTTTCCGCTAAAGTTACATTTCTATTACTAGTTTCAGTTCGGAACTTTCTCCTGAATCTTGAGGAGATTTATTTGCAATTTTGCAATGCAGCATTTCTAAGACGCACAGTCAATCACGGATAAACTTTATTGGATGAAATCCCTATTTTCCACTAATTCTATTGTATGTGATTTGTAACATATAATTGTTGCAGCAAAGGGCACCATTGTTTACCCCAAAAAATGACTTGTGCAACTTCCTTCCTCGGCGAAATGTGGAGACAGTTGTTGCTGTCGATCTTGAGAAAATTTTTCCGATTAATAGGGAAAACCAAAAGATTATATGATATTAGTTGATTTCTATTGTATCATGCTTGTCAATAGATTATTCTCCAGAAAAATAGAAAGTGAAATATTTTATAGTAAGCAAATATATTATACTGGAATATGACGAAGTGTCGTACTGTAGCTATTGTCCTTTAAAATGAGATACCTTAAAAGTAATTTCGACGTAATAATCGCTGTATTGATCGGGCCATTTCACAAATTCGGTTCAATTCTTAACCAATTCGTTTACTGAATTGCTGATGTTATGTGTCTTATATGCAGCAAAATACCACTAACCTAATACCCGACGCACAATAGAATGCATCAAACAGTTGCTAGCTCATATATTTTTTAGTGGACATACGGAGAATCTAGCGACATGCTTAGCGAATAATTACAAGATAATATTCATAAAACAAACATAATAATAATACTAAAGATATACAAGGATATTACAACTTAACTATGACCACTGTAGCTTCCTGTAATTAAATTCTTAACACAGGGGATTGGTTCATTTCTGTAATTCAAGATATTAGGTTGATGAGGAGGATCGTGAATAGAGAACTTAACTTGTATTCCTGATTCATGTTCTGAGCCGATGCCATTTGTAGCAAATCTAGCAATCAATTTTTCTTCTAAGTTGCTAGTAGATAAATTCAAGGGTTGGGTGTATCTCCAAGTAATTCTGTTTTTGTCTTTGTTGAACGAACCCTGGGGTCTTGATGAAGCATTCAAAGTTTCGCATGACGAATCTAATGCCACCGATATTACCAAGTTGTTAATAACTAGACTGCTTGAGTAATTTGGATTTAATTTTAAGCTTATCATTAATGATGATTGATGAGACTCAAACTTCCAAATTTGCAGAATCAAAATAGGAACTTCTTCAAAAGTGATATTCTTCAAATATTTCATCCCACCCAAGGTCTTTGATACAATTAATTCAGGGTTAATGTTAAATTCTTCATTACTTAATTTCTCAATATATGTGTTATTCAAAATAATTTTATCGAATTGGTTAGGAATTCTAATGAGAATAGGCTCAATTTGTTCATCTATTTGTTTTTTGTAGTTAAATGCAATCTCCCCTATTATTTGAGATTTCACTAATTGATCGTTTTTAATATTAACATTTATAACTTCGGCGATGGACGAATTCAATCCATTGGATTCAACATAATTAGAAGAATCAAAGTGTTTGAAATAATCACTGTTTCTCAATAAAGAATTACCTGTATCCTGACTAACCAATGTAGGTTGCTGAATAACTGAGGCTCTAGCATTAGGCAAATTATGGAACATTTGTGAATGAATATCCCTTCTATTCGTTCTAGAGTCGGTAGAATTGCTAGGAACAGACACTAAGCTTGGGGCATCCTTAGGTGAAGAGGTATTTTGGTTTCGAAGAGAAGATTCACGATGAAGAACCTTTCTTGCTTTGGGTGGAGGTGGCGGTAAACCGCTACCTTTTTGCTGCAGCAGTTCTGAATATTGTTGACTCTCTTGTTTGAGTTCTTGTTGGTTTTGCTGCTGAGGTATAAACTGTTGAAATTCTTGATTTTCCAGATGACCTTGATTTTGCAATGAGGGTTGCTGATATTGTTGGGAATCTTGATATTGTGATTTCTCTTGAGGGTATTCATATGAGTTTTGTTGTTGCTCATGTTGCTCATGTTGCTGTTGAAACTGTTGTGGCAATGTTTGCTCTTGTTGTGGCTGTTTTTGTTGTTGATGGTGACCATACATATTACCTACAGCAGCACCAGCACCAGCAATACCCGCACCTGAAGCAACGGCAGCATTTCTCAAGAAATGGTTATCAACATTAGATCCAGCATTATCATTGACATTAAGCTCACCTACCTTATCTTCAAAAATGTTTTCTTGCTGTTTTGGTGTCATAGAATTTTCCTCGTCTCCAGCTTCAAAGCTATATTTGCCAGCACTACTTTGACTTAACCTTCCCGTATGTCTCTCATTACCATGTTGGCCGACTCCAAGTAATCCTGATTGCTCTTGTTGCTGACTTTGGGTATCAGATTCATTAGGGAAGCTGCCCACAATTGGTGAACCATTTTCTGGACCACCTAAGGAGTGTCTTTGCAACATTGATAATCTGTTTCCTTTATTATTTGGATCCTCAAATTCATCATCAGAAGTCTCAGAATCATACTTAACTACATTTGGAGAATCGACAACTTGATTGTTATCAGAAATAGGTTTAGGAGTGAGTGGAGCAGCATTCAAAGAAGCAAGTTGTGGTTGTTGTACCTGCTGCTTTTGAATTTGCTCATGTGGAACCTGTTGCTGAGGAATCAGTTGATGTTGCGATCTTGGATCACCTCTTTGCTGTTGGACTGGTTGTTGTTGTAACGGTCCTTCTTGATACTGTTCCGAACTAGACGGTTGTACAGCTTGCAGCTCTAATTCGGAAGGTCTTCTTGAATCTCTTACTGAAGTGGTTCTGTTCACATTATTTTGAGCTAAGTGATCAATTGAATCAGTTGACTTATTTAATCTTGGGTTAGTGTTGACAGATGATGTAACAGATTCAGTTTCCGGAATTGTACCACCTCCTAAACCGCTTGTACGCTTCAGCTTGTTTTTACGACCAAAGATAGATCCCATTTTCGATTTCAACTTTGATGGTTTCTTCAGGTTTGTGCTAGCAGACCCCAACGTTGCAGATGAGTTCATGGAATTCAAATCACTATGACTTACCTGTCTCGATTGTCTTGAATTAGTTTTCGAGACAGAAGCAGTACCTGCAGCTGAGGATCCAGGAGCAGTCGTCACAAAATCCTTCTTCTGCAATACATATTCCAAATAATTAGCCATTTCTGTATCAATTTTATATCCGTTCAAGACATAATTAACTGAATTCTCGTTATTCGACAAGTTCTTGGAGTACTTGGTATTCAATCCATTCAACAAACTGTAACTGACATCAAATAATAATTGGGTTTCAAACTTTTTGAAATTTTCAAAATTATCAAAAATTTGTGGCGCCTTCATATTCCATTGCATCTCAGCATTGCTGCTATTATGTGATAAATCACTGCTTATCTCTTGTAACTCTTGCGAATTCACTAATAACTCGGAATAACGAACGTCTTTCTGAAATACGTCCTTTAATGGTCCAATTGCCTCTAACTTCAAGTTTTTGAATAAAGTTTCATTAGAATGAATCTCAACCTGTATTGAACTCAATAAACAATTCCAAACTTTATGAAAGCCTTCATATTCTTTGTTTTGCTGCTGTCCGAAGATTTTTGATCCATTCTGTAATAACTGATTGAGTGCCTGGTTGTTGCGTTGCAACAATTGAGTATATTCATTGAAGAATCCCAATAGGTTTTTCTCAAGCAAGCCCTGCGTAGCATTGATACTTGAAGGAATAATTGCCGCTGCCTCCTGCGGTGTTTTTGATGTTAAAATGGACGTCCCATAAGAATATTGCGATTCTGCCATTCTTGTTTCTAATTTGCTTATAAATTGCAAGGTTATATCGCTATTCGTATTCGTTTTCCGTATAACCCGTTGTGATATAGATTCCACCATTCCCTTGCGACATTTAATGATATGTCGCGTTTCAGTGCGACATACGAATTACATTAAGCGACATTATACGACATGCGACATTTGTTGAAATCTCTTCCTCGGCAAACAATCAACTATTACACAAAACCGCTGGCACCTAGCCTCATCCTATATGACATATCAAGTCATTATACCGAATATAGGATGAAATTTTTGTTCGGTCCATATCACCAATAGAGAATAATAATCTTATGAATATCATAAGACTCTAGTTCGTAAATTGGTTTTCTTGATTTCTGCAAAACGTATAATAGCTGCTGCAGAGATAAGAAGACAAAAAATATTGGTCTATTGTGTAAAGCAACAACCAATAAATACGAACAAGAAAATCATAAGGGTACTTGTCGTCAAGGCGAACAGATTTCATTCGTTGGTTGGACTCGACGAACAATGATAAGCGTTTACGGTTAAACGATTCAATTCTACTTCTCTTATCAGTAAAGAAACCTTCTTTCGTAATATTGCACGTGATCTATATTCTTATCAGAGATCGATCGAAGGTAGATGATTGGCTAGTGCTGATAGAGATATTATCATGAGCTGCAAGACGTGCTTTAGTTTGATAAGTCTTGATAGTAGAATGTACTATATATATAGGGATACTGGAAGACATTAAGTAAAAAAATGGTGGGACTTTTATAATTGTAAAGCAATTTTTCCTTAAAATATTAATTACTGCAAAATAGAAAAATGGCAAACGATGGTTTTACAGGGACAGGTCCCGGAGGAGATATAATGAAGGTGGATTTAAATAAACAGTTTGACAAAGCAGATATGGTTTGGATTGGAGTATCAGCCGCATTAGTGTGGATTATGGTTCCAGGTGTTGGTTTGCTTTATTCTGGTTTATCAAGAAAGAAGCATGCATTATCATTATTATGGGCGTCACTTATGGCAACTTGTTTGACTGCATTTCAATGGTTCTTCTGGGGGTACTCATTAGTGTTTACACAAAGTGACTCCGTAATTTTGGGTAACTTGAACTATTTTTCTTTGAAAAATGTGTTCGGAGCCCCAAGTGTGGTTTCAAGTGTTCCAGATATTTTATTCTGTCTTTACCAAGGTATGTTCGCTGCAGTAACAGCCATTTTGATGGTCGGTGCTGGATGTGAGAGAGCAAGATTAGGGCCAATGATGGTCTTCTTATTCTGTTGGTTAACTGTTGTTTACTGCCCAATTGCATACTGGACTTGGGGTGGTAACGGATGGTTATTCAACTTAGGAGCATTAGACTTCGCTGGTGGTGGACCAGTCCACGAAAATTCTGGTTTTGCAGCTTTGGCTTATTCTTTAATTTTAGGTAAGAGACATGACCCATTAACTACTGGAAAAGTTCCTAAATATAAGCCACATTCTGTCACATCTGTTGTGTTGGGAACTGTGTTTTTATGGTTCGGTTGGTTTGGATTCAATGGTGGTTCAACAGGTAACGCATCTATCCGTTCTTGGTACGCTTGTGTCAACACTAATATTGCTGCTGCATGTGGTGGTTTAACTTGGATGTTTGTCGATTGGTTCAGAACAGGAGGAAAATGGTCTACTGTTGGATTATGTACCGGTGCTATTGCCGGTTTAGTTGGTATTACTCCAGCTGCTGGTTTTGTTCCAGTTTACACTTCTATTGTCTTTGGTGTTGTTCCAGCTATTGTCTGTAACTTTGCTGTTGACTTGAAATCTATCTTACAAATTGACGATGGTATGGATGTGTTTGCTTTGCACGGTGTTGGTGGTATTTGTGGCTCAATCTTAACCGGTCTCTTCGCTGCTGACTATATTGCTGCTGCTGATGGTTCCGTTGCTGCTGACCCATCAGCGGCTATTGCTGGTGGTTGGATGAACCATAACTACAAACAATTAGGATACCAACTTGCAGGCTCATGTTCAGTTGGTCTCTGGAGTTTCACTCTTACTTCCATCTTGTTATTAATTATGGACAGAATTCCTCAGTTGAGAATAAGATTACATGCTGATGAGGAAATCATGGGTACTGATGTTGCAGAAATTGGTGAATTTACTTACTACGATGATGAAATGGGACAAAGCAACACCATGGGTATGAGCGATAACTTACCATATGTTATAGAACCAATCAGATCTACTGATCAAAAGAAAGCGCAATTACAAGCTGCTGCTGGTACCAGGGATGATCCAGAAGTTCATATGGGCACCACCGCAGATGGACAAGGTTTTGTTAGCCCTGACGATGGAAGTGGCACAAGTAATGCTACTAAGGAATAATCTTTAATTCGAACCCGTGTATTTATTTAGATATAAACGTTTAATTTTCAAACTTTAATTTTCTACTGTAATACTAACGATATTCAATTTCAATAAGACGTTAGCTTTGATTCTTATATGCTTCTTATTGCAATAATCTTAAATGCGAAACATACTAAATATGTATACGGGAATCAAGTAAAAACATTCGATTTCTAGAATACGCTTTGACATCAAATTTATAGCTCCAATCACCACAATGGTGAAGTAAATTGAATAACCCACAAAGCTTAAGTAGAATCAAGATTCAAATGTATACATATGTTCTTCAATACGTGTTAACCGAACTATTCTATAGCTCGTATTTTTAACCCGTGCGCTTATCAACAGATAAGAAAATCAAATGTGACTATCAATAACAAAAGAGTAACAATTCAATTTACACATAATTATTCTATTACACTAGATATCATAGTCAAAGAATAGGAAGAGCAACAAAATACAAAGGAATTATAAGGCAGGTAGTTATAAGTGATATATTTTAGATTTGAGTACATAATGATTACAAACGCATCAATTGTTCCGGGTGAAGGACTTGGAAACTCGATAAAACTTGGTAGCCTGATGTATTCAATCATTAATCTGTTAGATAGATTTAACTATAGGATGAAAATATCTTATTCCGAAAAGCATTATTTAGAAACTCCTATTACAGTCACAGTCGCAGACATAGGACTTAGGTTGGTATTCGAGAATTCTGACAAGCAAGAGCTTGTTTTAATCGAAGTGATTGACTTCAAGAGCTTGAAGTTGAGTTACAATGGAATAAATTTAAATGATATAACGGAAAACGTGGAGGATACGTATGAAAATGAAGCACAGGAGAATTCGGAACAAAGGACGAATACCACACTCCCAAATTTAAAGCAAATATATAACCAAACATTTGGTCCCACATATCCTGGAAAATTGTCAAAAAGTTCAGATTACTACACTTTGTCTTACCCTGGGATTTCATTCAAATTCAAGATAAATCTGAATGAGTTGATTAACAAATTGAAAGGATTAGGCGCAGAGGTGAATGATAATACTATTTTATCCAAGTTATTGAACTGGGATAAAAATAGTGACATTGCATGTGAATCACTTTCAATTTTCCTGGGCTCATCATGGGAGAACTTCTATGAAACGTTTAAAAGTAACATTCTGAAACCTAAGCAAATAACCAAAGAGAAAAATAAGGCATCATCATCTGCTGTTCATATTTCTAAATTATTGGTGAATTTAAAGTTAGGAATGATCAAATTAATATTTGGGGCTACTTCTGATAAGAATCAACCAAAGGAATATGTAATTAAAATCGGCGAGACAACGCAGCAAGAAGTATCAAACATATTAGGCTCTCCTGATGATTATTTTAACAAGTTTGATTCCAGATTATTAATTCACAATCATTTATCAAAGTCATTTAAAATCGATTTGAATGATAACTCGATTTATAAGTTTCACAATTATTTCAGATATGGGCTTGATTTTCTATATGATCTCAATTCAATCAAGTCGAAATCTACAGGAGTTCTAAAAAAACTCATTATCCATAATGGTGGCATAACTGAAAGTTTAGATTTCATGAAATGGAATAAATGTAACTGGGAAATAGTAGCTGGTCAGGACTGCAATGCTGCACATCCGTTTGGATTAAAAAATGATGTTTCAATCAATTCATCTATGTATTTCAAAGATATCCCAGCTGAATTCTTTAACCAAATTGAAGGAAGTACTAACTTAAGGCCTGTTTTATTGAATAGAAACGAAACTGAATTCATTGATAATGATTTAGATATTATCAATCCTGATGAAATTCGTGAGGACAATAATGCAGCTCTTGAAAAGCATCAGTCAAGAGAATCTACAATTTCTGGTGAAACTTGCAAAACAAAAACTTGGGGCCAATCTAAATTATATGGATCCAATAGATGCATTTGGGAAGTAGTTGAAAGTAATGGATGTATAACAAGTGTTACAATTTTTTAAGCATATATAAGTCTTCTATTTCATATTTTTTCTTGATTTTTTTGATAACCAGAAATGTGCGCTTTTTTATTTAGAAAAATTGTACAGACGAATACAATTTAACAAAACATTCAATATATTCAGCTAACATATATAACATATTAATATGAGATTAACGTCACAAGTGCTATCTGATGCACCGACAATAATAAACCCCGAGAAACAAGTAACGCTTCTGCTCAGAAGCTTGAAAATTCCTTATCTTGAAAATTTAGGTATTACAAAGGATACGTATGAAGTAATAGACTTAACCGATAATGAATTGATTGAACTATCCAACTTTCCTAGACTTAAGCACTTGAAGGTGTTATTGGTCGGAAACAATAATATCACTAGTATTAGCGATGATAAATTGTCAATGAACATACCTCATCTACAAACAATATCTTTGATAAACAACAATATAAGCAAGTTTCTGGATATTCGCATGTTGTCCAATTTCAAGAACTTATCTGATATAACACTTATTGGAAATCCTATAGCAGATTTCCCTAATTATAAGTATTTTATGATTTGGTTAATTCCAACGTTGAAGGTATTGGATTTTTCCAAAGTTAAACAGAAGGATTTAATAAAAGCAAGAGAATTATTCGGCGAAAGTATAAAGGACCCA